AATATCCTTCCGCCGAACACATACAATTTGTCACCCAAGATAGTCGTCGTAGCTCCAACAAGCGGGTGTGGTTCCCTACCAGTCGTCCGATGAACATTGCACATGAGACCAGACAAATGAGCAGAAGAACCTGACATCTGTGGCGTACCAACTGCAGCTCCCATGGCCGGCGTATTTCTTGCCTGGCTCACCTGTGGCGACGGTCCAGCAGAAAGCGGACCGTTGCTCTTGGGGGTCAGGTTCTCTCTCGTCTCCTCACCCCCATCCTGGGCTCTTGACGCCCCTGGTAGACTGCTTAGACTGCTGCTCATACTGGCATCCGTGGCAAAGTTTTGCCTCCCACCATACATCTGGCTCATTTCCGACGAGCTCGAGTCCATTGTACTTGTCCGGCTATCCATGTTGACTTCGGTATCGAGGATGGTCTCGAGACTTGTGGTCTGGACCTGATTCGCAATCGGAGTGAGCGGCCCAGAGGGCGAGGACTGGTCCGGAGGAGGCTCCGGGAGCGGTTTCTCGAGACTGCTTTGCAAACTCAAACTTCGAGCATGCTGTGGCGTCTGAGATCTTGGAGGTCCAAACAGCGGCGCCGATGCTGTCGCTTTTTCAAGCTGGGGTTCGCCTCTGCCCCTCAGAGCCAACTGTGACGGCTGTCTCCTGAGCTTTACCAAGTCTTCCCGGTTGGGTGTGATCTTCTTGATACCACGATACACGCCTGAGAGGATGTCGGAAGGGGATTTGGTCGGCGGCGAGCGCTCGGGCTCTCGATCTTCAGTCTCGGAGTCGGAGAATCGGGAGAGATCGCCTCCAAGCTTCTGAGGTACCCAACCTGCATTGTCCATCGTGGTTAGCTCGGAACCGAGATCGAGTCAGCTCCTCTCAGCGAGGCATTGGGCTGCTCTAGGTATCTAGACACAATGGAGAAGGGAGGAGGGTCGGGAAGAAGGACACGATATCTGAAGAGGTAGGCGAGAAGAAGAAAGAGGGAAGGGGAGAGAAAAAGAATACGGAAGGAGCGAGGGTAGCAACGATGACGGAGGTGGAAAGAAGCACAAGCCAGCTGGTGGACTCGACTCGGCATTCAAGGCAGGGGCTAAAAAGAGGTCGAGCAACGACAGGCAGGAGCAACCGTCGAATCGAGTCCAGTCGTGTCAGGGTCGCAACCACAGTCGTATTCGATATCGAGGCGAGCCGAACTGACCCAAGAGAGCGGAGCTTCACGATTGCTGGGGTTGGCTTGCTGTGGAATCTGCTCTCCGGTCCCAGGGTCTCGGATTGCTCCCTGAGTGACCGACTGACTGATCGACTTGAAGTGGAGAGGGAGTCGAGGAGGGCTACAAGGGGAAGGGACGGCCGGACGACGACAACAACGACAACGACGAGGGTATCACGACGGGGCCAAGGGGCAGGCAGGCGGAGAAGGGGAAGATGATGGATGGACGAACGAGGGAGGAAGTCAGTTCAGGACGGGACGGGGCATACCTGTGACAGGCAAACGGACTGGGTCTGAGGTTGCAGTGTCTAATTTCCGGGCGTTCGTTCGTCTGGCAGATCACCACTGGACTGCTGCTGCCTTCTCTGGGTTGGGTTCGGTTTTTTCTCTGGCGGTCTCCTCACTGTACATGCAGCACGGTAAAGGTGAGGAGGATAAGAGTGAGGTACGGGGTATGGGTATGGGTATGGTGTATGGGTACGGGTACGGGTAGGGCGGGCAGCTAAGGACAAGGTACTCCTGCTACCCAGCAGCTTAACGTTGAGAGACTAATAAGTACGGCGGTAGTAGTCAAGTAGTCTTAGTAGGTAGGTAGGCAGTAATGGTTGAATGGATAGGAGTCAGACGATGGATGGAGCCAGCGGAGCGGAGCTGATGCTTGTGCGTTCGTGCGTGTGCGTGCGTGCGCGCTGTCTGCTTTTTTTGCGTTCGCACAGACGCCCCCCCTCCCAGAAGAAGAAGAAGAATAAGAGCAAGAACAACAAATGGACGCTTCGATTTTGTCGGTCGGGATGGCACGAGGGAGGACGGACGGACGGACGGACGGACGACGGACTGGGGGGGGGGATGTTCAACGTTCTTCGCTGGTGAGCAAGCGGCGCGCAGAGAAAAGGAGACGGGATCCCTTTTGGGCGTTTGAAAGACGGCCGGAGATTGGACGGCGTGCTCGCTTGCGCTGGCTCGGTGGGCGCCAGGTGGAGGATGGGTGGGTTTGGGTACCTCTTCTTGGGTGTGTACTGTGCTGTGCAGTGCAGTGCAAGCCGGCCCGCCCACCGTGGTGGGGAAGAGGGCCAGAAGAGAAGGGATCCAAGCGCGCGCGGTCTTCAACGTTAGGTAGGGCAGAGTATAATTTAACACGCCGGGTAGTCTACCCAAAAGTGGTGGTTAGTCTGTTGGCTAGCTGCGTTCGAGAAAAGTCAATGGAAGCTTCATAGAGGAGAGACAAGCAGACAAGCATACTGTATCCAGCATACCAGCATACCTTCCTGGGTAATGTAGCAGATAGATGAGCTTCGATGGCAGACTGATAGATGGGTTGGTCAGGCACAGTATCCGTTCTTCACACCTTGACCCGGCTCTCTTGCGGTGAGGCAATCAGCCGCAAAGAGACTAAAGTTGCTAGTAATACCTGTGTGTCACACACCTGCACAGAGTCGAGTGAATGAATGATCGATTGCGTGTTTGCTTATTTGTTTGATTCATACGTAAAAGACTCGTCAACTTGAGAATAGGACAGCGTGGGCATGGAAGAGAAGAAGGAATGCTAGACAAGACAAGGCCATTTCAAACTCAGGAGTCAGGTAGACACCGAGACAAGAGAGGGAAGAATGACTGTTATGTCTCTCGCCATTTTCCATCTCCTCATCTCGTCCTTGTATCTACCGTGCCTACCTCGCCTCGTCCACAGCAACGGCTCGTACTTGGTCTAGCTGAAGATACCTCACCTAGATACACTCATGCATCGCGGACGGGAAGAGGTGCATGAAACCGGGCCTCCAGCCATCCCGCTACCAATTGGGCAATCGGAGCAAGCTAGAAAGGACTGCACAACCCCAGACTACCCCAATCAGTGGCTGGCTGACTGGCCAAAGTAAAGCACAAAATCAGAGAGCACACTATTGGCCAATGCCGAGAAACCATGCAGCTTGAAGCATGCCTCAGGTCGTCCAAAGCCAACTCTCTTACACTTGAGGGGAGGGGACCTCAGGACTTGCGTTGCGGTGTGGTTACTGACTCTGCGAATACCGAAGTTTGTCATACAAATCACGGATATTTACTCTCTTGACAAAGCATCAGCCATGCATTCCTTCCGACGTAGAACAAGAAGGAAAAGACATGCAGCTCCTTTTCTCTTGTGTCTCCGCAATCTGTCGAATCATAACCCAAAACTCCAAACGGAATACTGTACACGCACAGTCCTACCCCGGGCGCGGCGCTTACCTTGGCCCAAGTCATTCATAGATTAGTTGAAGTCTCTTCATCTTTACAATAACAAAGAGGGACAAAGGGACATAGCTTCTAGCATGTCTGTGAAGCTTATTCTTCACAAACAATCCCTAAGATAACAGAAAGCTCTTCAGCTTCGGTTGGATACTTTGCCCAAGTTTCTCATAAATCACAAAAGAGAGTTGCTTCAGACGCAAATGTGGGCTTCTTGGCTGGCTCGTTTCCGTCCGAAACCCAAGAGGCTAAGGTTGAAACACGAAACATGCGACTTCTCCACGTGGTAGAACTGGGTCGCTCCACCATCATTCGGTGCCATCGAAGCGAGACCCCCAAACTGGGATGGAAACCCGGAGCATGGGCAGCCCAGGAGCACTGTACAACTTCCAAGGTTCTTGGATAATCCGTGGGAGCGGTAGAGAATTTTCATTTCCCAACTCAGAACCTCACGGCTGCGAATTCAGAAGACGGATCAGGAAGCTTGAAGATGTCGCTCCGAGTGGTGATATGCGCTATGCAGCTCCGCCGACTCCGTCTCTTCTTCTTCTTTCTTCCCTTCTCATTCTCTTCTCCCGGCTGTCACATTTGTCGCGCGATCGATCTCAATTGGTAGGACCGCTCCCAAGTGCAAGCCGTTCCCCGCCCGCTGAGACGCTGCCCAGGGTTGATGTCTCATTCGCGGACCGCAGCTTCAAGGAGCGGGAAGCGGAGGCCGGCGGCGGGGAGAGTCCATTTGTAGGGCTTCGGAACCAGAGTTTCTGCTGTAGACGATGTTGCCATGTCATTCGGCATATAACCTGCCTCTGCTGATATCAATCATTAATGCAGGATTTCCTTAAGTCTCATGTTAAGTGCTCCAGCGAGCCCGACCGTGGGTTAGGATCCATGTCGGACCCGACAGAATGTCTGCCGGCGGAGCCTCTGAGCCAGCCCAGGGGGGTTGGTCCCCCGTCACCGGCATCGGTTATGTAATTTTGATGACACTGTTCCAAGCCCTGTACCTTTCTTGAACTGTTGAATCTTTGGGATCCTTCAGGGTGTTTCTCCTTCCTAACCGGATTGGGTACCGCCGAGGAGTGCTGCACCGATACCCGTGCCGACCCTATGTGCTCGTCTTACATGACACTGAACGCAAAGAAATTCAGAGCCAATTCTCACTGTCAGAGTCAGAAATGATGGGTTGTGAACGCAAATATTCTCGGATCTGATCTTGTGTGAATGTGGGTTCATGGCTACTGTGTACAATGGGCCCAATTTAGCTGACGCGGGAGCAAGACGCGCAAATGGAAACACTCAATTCTGCAAAGATGGCGTGTGGTATCACAATATTCGTGGTTGCTATTCAACTTCGCTAGCTACCTAAGCGGACAGAGTTCCTCTAGTCTTGCGGACGCTTGCTCCGCCGTCTTTCGACATCTTAGACAGACAAAGTGAAACATTGCTTCTGAAAAGCCCCGTGCCCATTCCCGTCAAGAAATTCTCCCAAAACATTTGCCATTAGCTTTTCAACCCAAACTCTCATCTCTCAACCATCCAACCATGCCACGTCTCAACGAGCCATCCCTTACAGACCAGCAGAGGTCTTCTCCTTGGGCAGAGGGGTGAAGCGCAGGTAGGGCTTGACGGCGCGGAACTCAGGGAACAGCTCCTTGGCCTGCTCGTTCTTGACGGACGGGTGGACAATGACGTCGTCGCCGGGCACCCAGTTGATGGGGGTGGTGACCTTGTGCTTGTCGCCGGTGATGAGGGAGTCGACAATGCGCAGGATCTCGGCAGAGTTACGGCCAGTGGAGGCGGGGTAGCTCAGGATGGTGCGGATGGTCTTCTTGGGGTCGATGACGAAGACGGAGCGGATGGTGAAGGCAATGCCCTTCTCGTCGACGTTGGTGGTGTCTTGGTAGTCGATCCTACAAGGAATATGATGTTAGCAATCTTGCTATATATACACAAATGCGCCACAAAGGCGCAGGCTCAACCTGAGCGTTGGCAACAATCAGGTAGTACTTACATGTCGTAGAGGTAGGCAACCTTGCGCTGCTTGTCAGCGACCATGGGAAAGTTGATGGTGCTGCCGGTGACGTCGGCGACATCCTTGGACCAGCCCTCGTGGCTGTCGACGGTGTTGGCAGACAGACCGAGCAGCTTGACGCCGCGCTTGGCGAACTCGGGCTGCAGACGGGCCATCTCACCGAGCTCGGTGGTGCAGACGGGGGTGTAGTCCTCGGGGTGAGAGAAGAAGACGACCCAGCCGTCGCCAATGTACTCATGGAAGTCAATGGGACCCTTGGTGGTGTCGGCCTGGAAGTTGGGGGCAACAGTGCCCAGGCGAAGGCTAGAGGAAGCTCGTTAGCCATGAATTCACAAGAGCGCATTCAGCTGAGTGCGAAGAGTGTTTGCTATGGCTACGGAGGCGATCTCCGTAGACGGGAGGGAACTTACGGAGCAGCGCGTTCAGCCATTGTGTCTGAGATGGAACAGAGTCGTCTGAAAGAAAGTGAGCTCGAGTAGTTGAACAGCAGAAGAAAAGACTTGGAAAGGGCGCAAGTCAAGCAAGAGGAGAGGATGTTGTGTAGGTAGGACAGAAGGCGGGGGGGATGGTGTGATGCGACGGGCTGGCCAGCTTAAATACCTCCCGTCCTGCTTAGGATGAGGGAGAGGTACCGCGCCGTACCGGAGGTATGTTCTGCACCCTGAGGGAGGTGGAAGACGAGAGAAGGCGAACTGGATCTACTACGTACAGTACCTACCTGTCCGGCGATCCACAGTATCGGGAGGCTAAGACAATGGACAGGCGGCCAGCTTGTTTTGTTGGCTCGGAGATGGCATGTTCAAGTCGGGATTTGCTCTACTCTGGCTCGTCTGGATATGGTACTATGTGATTAATAAATGCTCCGTTTGTACACGTAATAGACGCCAGATATTACACCTAATAATAAAGTACTTGGCTGCTTTAGACAGCCCTTAGGTCTGACAGAGGGAAGGGAAGTAAGACGGAGCAGGAGACCAGTCTTCGTAACCACAAGTTAAAGCTACCTTAGCCACCCCTCTTCTTCTGTCTTTCTCCCACCATCAGTCTTCACCCTCTTCTTGCCATTCTGTGACCAGAAGAACCTGACGAGCTCTAGAAAATGTCAGTCGGGCCATGTGAGGAAGCAGGACAAGAACCCTGGAGGCCCTCCTCGCCCCCCTGACGGGCCAATTGGCGTCCAGGGCGGCCCCGAGTCGCAGAGAAGACGCAAAAAGCTCAGAGGATGATGAGATGTCGATGCCCCTCAGTGCGGCCAACGTGGGGAAAAGCTGCCAGAGGAACTGCCCCTCACTAACCCCTCCCGGAATAGCCTCAGATTGCGCGATCGCCCGCCTCTGCCATTGGCCACTCCCACGATTACCTAACCCCGGCGGGGCCTGCCGTGACCCAGCAGCCCTCCATCCCATCCCAGAGGCACTATCGACACTGGTATTGCCTCTTCGAGCAGGGTAGTGCCTGAATGAGTAGTGACAAGCAGGGAGCTTGCTCATTGCGTTACCTAAGGTGTGTTCCAAGAGTAGGAACAAGGGTGCGGCCGCGGGCATGTGAAAGAGAAATTGGATTTCATCACGAATATGAGTTGAGCTACACGTCCAAGGAGTAATAATACTCTGTTTCCTAATCGCAATCGTCCAAGCATGTGCACTTTTCCAGACGTTTGGTACCATGACACGCCACATCGACCAAGGAGTAACTTATTTACAAATACATCGTATTTAGGTGGCAAGGCTCTACTCGCTATAACTTGACCTTTCCTATGTTTAGACCTTCCCAGTCATCTTGGGAAAACCTCACATATGTACCGTCCCTCAGCCAATACACATCGTCGCCGGCTGTATGTTGCGGATCGACGCCCGCCTGTCGTAGGTTATGCTTCTGTTGCTTATTTGTCCCCGTCGTTTGCATGCCCGTGTCCTTCATGAGCCTGAGGTAGACCGGGAGAGCATATTTCGGTAACCGCTCTCTCACATGGTCTGCCAGACTCCTCAGCACTACCTCATCCGGCTCACTAGCAAACACGATGGCCGCGCAGCCAATACGCCCGTCATGGCGCGGGAGCTGTACTCCATAGACGTTTGCCTCTCGAACGGCAGGGTGTAGCCCGATGACCTGGCTGACCTCTGCCGTGGAGACGTTCTCGCCCTTCCACCGGAATGTATCACCTATGCGGTCGTTGAAATATAGCAGTCCGTCAATCTTCCGCATCACGTCGCCCGTCCTGAACCAGGCATCGCCTTTTCTGAACACATTGCGCATGACCTTCTCGCTGGTCGCCTTCCTGTTTCCGTAGTATCCCTGAAAGCGCTTCTCTACATCATCAGGAAGCCGAAACAGGAATTCGCCCGGCTCGCCGCTCTTTGCCTCCCGGCAGAATCCAGTCTTGGGGTCGCGGAACGGCAGATCGGTCTCGAAGTCGATCTCGACGAGCCCAACGTTAAGGCCCACAAGGACATTATATAGCGACCCGTTACGCCCCACTGCGCCCATAGTCAAGTCGTTTCTCGACAAGTTCCAAGTTGCAAAGGACCCTTCTGTGGCGCCGTAGAACTCGGTGATGGTATCGATCCCGAAGCGATCTTTGAACTTGTTCCAGACGTCCGGCCGCAACCCGTTGCCGTAAGCAAGCCGCACCCGGTGTTTCTTGTCCAGGTTCTCGCCGGTGGCGGGATCGATGTCTGGAGGCGCAGCGAGCAGGTAACGGCATGTTTCGCCGACATACAGGATCATAGTCGCATTGAAGCGCCGTGCCTCACGCCAAAAGGTCTTGGTGGAAAACTTGGCACCGAGGGCAAGGGTAGCTCCAAGCAACAAGACATTGGCGAACCACATGATCGTTGCTGATGAGTGATAGAGCGGCATACACTGAAGAAATGGTTAGCTGTCGTGAAAAGGACATGGCTTCCAACATTAATGCATGACTTACATTATAGTATACCTCGCCCGGCTTGGTGCCAATAAGCCGGGCCGAGAAGCCTCCTGCGGCATGTAGTTTGCCCCACGACACCATGGCGGCCTTTGGTAGGCCCGTCGTGCCAGAGGTGTAGATGAGCAAAGCCATTGTCTCCACCTTATCGCCATTGCGCAGGTCGTCCGGGAAGCGTTTAGGCTCAGTATTTGCAATCTGCTGAGCGCAGTCGGTAGAGAAGATGTGGAAGTGTAGGTTTGGCAGCTCCTTGCGCACATGTTCGTCAACATTGTGAGCAACAGAGTGGTCAACGAGACAGAGTGCGCAGCCTGCCGCCTTGAGGCAGTGTGCGAGGGCATGGCCAGTCAAGTTGTAGTTCATGAAAGCCGGCTTTGCGCCGATAGCCCATAGGCCGAGCCAGACGAAGACGTAAACATCGCTATTGGGGAAGTCCATTCCGACAATCTCCCCCTTTCTGATGTCAAACTTTGCCTTGAGCCAGCTGCCATATCGCAGTACGATCTCATAGGTCTGGGCATAGCTGTAGGTCTTATCTTCAAATAGGAGGAAGGGCCGGTCGGCGGACTTCTTGGACAATGCCTGAGATTCGAGATCGTAGTAGAGACTCAATCGACCATTGTATTGGCGCCAATACATCTGAGTCACGGTAGGAAGGATAGAGTTGAACATGCGCAGGTCGTACCACAGGGACAACCGCGCGTTAAGATATGCGGCCCCGGCCGCGGCCGCAGGCACGGTCAAGGCGAGAGGAGCTACAAAGACGGCAGAACGTTAGCCATTGGCAACCTAGAGGAGGGCCTCGATGATTGGGGACGTGGTGACATCTAAAATTAAGACGGAGGCAGGACGACATACCTGGCATCTTGGTGACTTGAGGAGCCTGTTACGTCGGAACAGCCGGCGCGCGATACAAGTGTGAATGTGGCCAACTATTTGGATATCTCTGATCAATGCGGTCTATTTCGAGGCTCTAGTTGAAGAGAAAGGGGGTATCATGGGTATGCAAAAGTGAATAGTGAGAATAGTGAACCAAGAAAGAATCGCTAAAGAGCAGAGAGTCCTCCTGCAGGACAAGATGGCCAGTGTTCCGGTATACGTAGCGGGGCTCTCGGTAGATATGATTCCTTCACGCCTCGACCGAGCTCGATAGAGCCAATATTCTACCAATCGAAGCGGTGGCCAGGAGCCGTCGAGGGAAGGAGAGTCGAGGTGAGTCGTCGAGGTTGTGGTGGTGGCCAGGGCATCTTCAGTTGGTCGGAGTGGCATGATACGCGTGATACGTAAGTGTGAGGTGAGGTAAGGCGCTGCACTTGGAAGCTCAAGACAATGTGGAGCTCGAGCGTTGGTGGTGCTGCTTCTGGGCAGGCTTTCAGATGCTCTGCCTCGGTTGCGCAAATGTCGCCCAAATTATCACTTGACAGCCCCTAGCGGCCAGCTTCTCAGCACACTACAGGGCCGGAGGGCGGGGTTGAAGGTTGAACGGGCACAACCCCCACCATCGGTTACATTTAACCTCCCGTCCGTGTTAGCGACCACCTTGTATACCTTACCTACCTTAGAGCTTAGGTATCATGTCCTTGGTATGCCATGATATCGTCTCGACCTTGAAAAGGCCTTTTCCTTTTTGAGCCGCTGATCGCGCGCATCGTTTCTCGGAATGATGCTTGCTGGGTTGCATTTCCAAGGACGGGCAAATATTGTGAAGAGGTTCGCGTGTACTGTAGCTGTTATCGCTATCTCCACGTGCTGCGCTACCTGCCGTCCCTGGACCAGTCGAATCCCTGACCTACCTAACAAATGCCAGCTAAGCAGTTCGCGTGCAACCTTAATGCAAGGCCCCCAGATCTGTGAATAGCTTCCAAGACTTGAACGCGTTGTAGGGGCCTCCAGACGCCAGTCCAATGCCGCCATGTCCGTCCGAATGCGCACCAAGGCCGACACGGCGGCGGCTGATGCGCCAACCATCTCCTCAAATTCACCGCCGATAGACACCACCGCCGGCACCGCCAGCGCCGGCACATCACCCAAGGAGCCTCCTCCCGAGAAGCCCGCAGACACCAAGCGGCGTTCTCTCGTCATTCTCTCCTTCTGGCTCATCATACTCTGCCTGGGTCTCCCAATATGGTGGAAGACTACCACGATATACCGGGCCAATCTGCCCCTGGACGAGATGATGGAATGGGCCGACGGCAAGGTCTGTACAGACCATCTTGAGAACTCTTCCCCCTTTGCTGACACATACATGCTCTAGGCTTGCCGTCCTGTCTTTCCGCTGCGCATATCGATCCAGGCCAGCCAGCTACAAGAACAGGAGGCTCAGAACCTCTTGCGGCTCACTCAGCACGCTCTCGACGACCTAAATGACTTTTCAGGACACCACCTACGGCTGCAATTGTCGCCCCGCCAGGGCGATGATGCTGCCCACCATGACGATGTTGCCCTGACGGTGCGGCTGACTCCGGGCGAGGCTACCACATCTTCTCTACACCCATATTCCCCCTATCTCGACATCACATATCCGCCAAACTCAATACCTTCCGCCGCCTCCGCCTCGTCATCACTTGCAACCTACGTAGCTACCCAGCTGCGCACGACATTTGCTGAAGAGCAGGCCATCATCTCCTACCTGCTTTCCACCTCTTCCGCCCAGACCGACCAGAGACAACCGAGCATTTCCCCGGATGCTGCCGAGAGTGTTGCGAAGCGGACAACGCGCTCTCTTAAATACTCCCCGACCTACCATCTCACCTTTTCCCTCTTCACGAGTGGACCCGCGCCTAGCAGCTGGGATATCGAGGCAGCCGTGGCAGAGTATATGAAACCGGTCCTGGATGTACTTGGCCCTATTCACAACTTCACAATTGATACCCAGGTCCAACTCTATGCACAGCCGGGAGTTGGAACCAATGTCCTAAGCAAGGATGACTTGTCATCATTCATCAATGCGGCAGAGTGGCCCCTATCACCTTCCATTGGCGGGGCTCCGACAGTCAATTTCATTGTCTTTGTCGGCAACCAGACCATTGGCTTCGATATCAGGCCGTCCGATGATGACCCTAACGTCGTAGTTGTGTCTGGCACATCACAGTCCTGGTTGATCCCGCAATGGGGCACAGTCTACCTCCTTCCCATGGACTACGATAAAACCCACGTGCCGGTGTCGGATCTCAAACAACCGCTGCTTACCTTCACCAACCACCTGCTCTCACTCTTGGGCACCCCTTCATCAGGATCTCTCCCGTTGCGTCTTGGCACATTGTCCCGTGTGCGATCTGCAGATCTCCTTCTCCGAGCCTCCAGCACTCTAGGGTCTCTTGCCCGGCTCTCGCTTGCCCTACCTTCCATCAGCATTCCGTCATCTGTGGCTGACGGAGTCTCGACCACGATGCAGCATCTGCGCATGGCTTGCGATTCTTTGGGCGGCTCGGATGGGCTAGCCCATGCGCTCATCGCGGAAGCAGAAGCTGAACGCGCCTTCTTCGAGAAGAGCATGGTTGGACAACTCTATTTCCCAGACGAGCACAAGATTGCCGTGTACCTGCCCTTGTTAGGACCCGTGGGTGTCCCCCTAGTAATGGGACTGCTGAATGAATTGAAAGCATGGAGGAAACGCAGGAAGGCAGCTGGAGAAGCCAAGTAACAGAGTAAAGTTGAATAATTGTAAAATATAGAACGTGTAACGAATGACTCAACACATCATTGTTGAACTAGTGATGTGGCATATGACCTGATGATACACACTTGCTGCGTTGTCTTCAAGCAGTCTTGACGTGCTCTTGAATCATCAAGTCCGCTAGCTGTTTGCCACCTCGTTGCAACCAACCCTGCTACACAATCTTGTGGCCGACCTAGAAATAGTGGACGTGATCCATCTTCAGTGATTAGCTTCACTGCTATAGCATCATCTTGTTGAGAGTCGTCCGTTTTCATCTGCTTTACGCTGTGTCTTGTCAGCCACCCACTTTCAATGTTTATTTTTGTTTTCTCATTTGAGGAGTTTCGAGTTACAGCCGTCTGAAAGGTCAGTTTCAGGTGACAATGTGCTGGTGATTGTTGTTCATGTCTCGTAGAGCACATTGTCTTGATGTTCTGCCACGTGTGCTTTTGAAGATGGATGGATTCTGAAGAATATTAGTACAATCACCAAAGATCTATTCAATGGAATACCTATAAAAGTCAGAACTTCTTCCTGTAGTCCTCTCCATAATAAATATTGCCGAAGTCAATAAACTATCCTTTGACTACTGTTCCGCAAAATGTCACATTCCAATAGCGAGTGCTCTTTCAACGAGAGCTCTTCTAGTGAGAGTTCTGAATTTTCCATCGTCTCAGAAGTTCCCCCTTCGCTTGCTGATGACAAGCACACAATCAAGGTTTGTCATACAATGCTGGTCCCCGTCGAGATCCATCTGCTGAACATCCGCTAGAAAGCTTATCTGTCCCTCCGAGACAACATCGAGCGATGGGTTTTCCAACATATTGATGAAGATATTGACCTTAGCAAAGTCTTTTGGCAACTTAACAATACGTGGAATAAGCGCGGAGATCGACCGTTGACGCGTACATTCAAGATCGCCGATGAGGAAGAGCCTCGTGAGGCGTTCAGAGACTTTGTACGTCACTTTTCCCATGGGGATAAGAGAGTCTTCATCGCTATGTGGATCATGTACCTGCTCGAAGAACAGTTGTTGCACCGCGGGATCCCATTGGGCTTCACAGAGTCTGAGGAGAATCTTGTTGAAAATGTCAGACGTTCCCTTTTGGAAGCTGACCCATACAGAGGTAGGTAAAAGACTTCAGCGACCTATTCTTCCTAAACAATCGCACAACAACTTATAACGCCATACAAAATCCAACTTTTCTGAGACTAGGTTGAACGCTAATAGTACTTCGCAGGTGATCTCGAGTTCTGTGACTGGCGGGAGGTTCTCATTCGCACTCGGTCTTCTTTCTCTGAGCCGGACAGGCCTTCTCTAGAGAACAAACAGTTGAACGCACGACTTGGGAAAATCGTGGCTGACCTCTCTACTGTCTTGCCCCAAGTCAAGGGTATTTGCTTGTCTGAGCTCACAGAGGGTGTTCTCAAACCAGCGTACTCTCTGGTTAAAACAATGCAGAGCTCACTCACTGCCTTCCATTTTGCTAGAATGAAAACGAATTACGGCCAAGACGTGAACTCTCAACGGGTGAGCGCCGAAGAGCTAGCAAAGTTCACGCTACGAAGTTTGCGGTCCGGGAAGAATGTAGAAATCGAGGACATAACACGTATTCTCCATGCTCTCTACCCAGCGCTAGCAGTCAATGACTACGGGTTTGCCAACTGGGAGACGCTGGTGCCGCCTGTCATTCTTGTTGACGAGCCCGTTCCAATTCCTGCAGACGTTTTGAGTCGCATCGAGTCGAAATAGGTTTGAAATTTGAAGCATGAACTTGCTTGTGCATCTTTCTGAAGGCGAAGAGCGGCGTTTCCTAGAGTTGTTTTGAAGTAGCTCTATTATCGTTGAGAACTAAGTTTGTTTGTCTATTTGTTTCTGTCAAAATATCCCTTGGAGTGATGTTTGCTCATGCATGCGATGAATCACTGCTTCTTGCGATTATTCCGGGAAATCGAGCCTAATCAATCATCCTCTTGCCCTGCAGCACACCACAGCAGCTTCTACTATTGATCAGACTTCTAGTAAATAGTGGCAATGGGTAAAATTGATTGAGTTTCTCACGGAGTTCCGTCCTGAGGTCCAATTTCTGATGTTCTACTTAGAGGTCCTTCATCCAAATAATAATCCAAATCCTGGCGAAGGGTTGACAAAGTCACCCCACCAAATATCTTGCCCGGAATTCTGGTCTACTGCGTCCCACACGGTCTCCAAAAGTTCAATCGCGGTTTGGTTGAGCCAAAGCCCAGATCTTTTGGTCCATCTCTCACAGAAATCAATAGCAATGCGGCGGAAACGAAACGAGTCGATCTCGCAAGCTGCTAGGAAAAGGGGGAGGAGGGCTTGCTTTTGTACGTTAGACTCTGAAGGGATCTCGTGAACGAGCCACAGAATCTCTTCTGCAAGCACACGAGCCTTTCGTCTGGCTGCCTCTCCATGATGAAATACTCTGGTGCAATAGAGCAGTAGCCCGAGCCTCCAACAGTCTGCAAGGGCGGAAATGTCTTTGTCAGCGATTCCTTGTTCGGTCTCAAAGTCAGCGAGCCAGAGTTTCATCTCGAGGCCGGCCACATGTCCATCTGAGAGAAAAGACGTATGCGCTGCGGCTTCGGCAATATCGTACATATGCAGAAACGCGGCGTCCGGGAAGCCATTGAGTGCAAGGAAGCTCCACTGCGAGTCATTCTTCATGACAGGATGTATTCGATGTATTCTCGTGGAAAAACAGGGTCTCCGCGTGAAAGCAGAGCAATGATTGTGTCGTACCAAACCAGCTGTGCAATCTGAGCTCTGACATTCATACTGCCATCTCCAACCCAAATGCCCCCAGCAGCTTCAATCATTTTGCGGACTCCTTGGAGATGAACAATCCAATTACTATATGCGGACTCGGCATAATCAATACCGATGAGTATCAGTGATACCGAAATGCCGACTTCCAGGGACACTGTACTTATTGATTGTGCGAATGAAGTCAATGCTCTATCTTTGAGCTCTAATACCGATATGCTTTCACGTTTCTCTTCAATATGGGATCGATGCCTGACGACCAACGCCCGCACTGCATCCAGGAGGAAGGGCGCCTCTTCTATCTGGGGAATGCAGGCTTGCCATGGATTGGCCTTGACATCGTAGGTTAGAGTGACCGGGCTGAATGTCCACGCGAAGAACGAAAGCTGCTCAAGGGTAGAAGATGAAAGCCGAAAGTAATCGGGTTGGCGACTATAGAGTACTGGAACCAAGCCTATATCAGGTGCAGAACGTCGTGTTCTATCCATGTTGTCTGGGGTTAGCGAGGTTGCTATGGCTAGGGCTTCCTGCGGGATGATGGGTTCCGATGGTTCGCACGGCGCCTGGAGTTCCACTTGGAATGTCTCCCTTTCTCGCACGAAGGCGTAGTGCGTCGTTTTACGTGAAGCTCTGCGATTCCCGGATCCTGTAGCGGAAGTTTTCCTGGCTCCTCGTGAGCGAGTCCTCTGTCCTGGATTTTGCCATTGAAGCTCCAGTGCAAACCCGCCGCACACTATTCCTTCGGCAGTGCACGCATAGCATCGAGGTCTCCTTCGATCGCAGACTCGAGACAATGACTGGCAGGTATGGCAGTCAGATTTTGCCCAGCCCAAAGAGTTCGTTCGGTGTGTTGTTGGGGGCATGAACCGGGTCCGAGGGCAGGAAACTGGGGTGTCTGTTTCAATTGATCCCATTATCTAGAACGAACGGTTTGGCTGGCGATGGAACTATACAGCAAATATCCAAATCAGATCAAAATCACCGGAGGTAAAGAGGAAGGAGAAGGACGAATGCACTAGGTATAGATAGTTCCTGCAGGATGAGATGATCTGCCTGTTAGCTAAGCTCTTCGAGCGACTGAGAATCCTTATCTCCACCAATGGTAGGGAGAAGCAGTGCGTGACACCGCGTTAATCAACAACTACCGGTATGGTAATTTTCTAATTTCGGACAAACAGCACAGCTACTAAGAGAAACCAAATGAAACATGTATCACTACCGCCCAGAAAGTCGTTTACGGCGAGATAAATTTGGATGGCTACATATATTCCAGAGTGTGTTAAGGCAATCGTATTGCAATTAAGTAGATGAAGTAGAGTCATTGACGAGATAACTGGGATTCATTCGCGTGCTTCCTGTAGCAATGCGTGATGCCACCTGCGATATATCGGCATCATTTGGTTTTTCCTTTGTATATCTGGCCTCTAGTCTAGGCCTAATGATGCCAAGAGCTTCTCATCCCTTTCCAGATCTCGAATCAGATCACCCGTTGAGACTCATTCTCCTTTAATAAGCTTTGTAACAGCAGCATCTGCTGGGTATTCTTCCACTTTCGACATCGGCAGCGTTCCTGTAACATCTATGCCGTGAATCACGGGAGCATGACGTAACGTTTCGTTATGAGCCACATTCAGCAGCTCGAAGTTGATCGATGGACCTGTGAAGACGTAGCGCTGCATAGTGGCCCAAGCAATGAGACTGAAGCTGCCAAGGCCCACGGTTACCACACTGCGGCCCGCGTTAGGATAAACCTGTCTCATTCTGTGTATCTACGGGAAGATGAAGGTTGGGGAACATACCTAATCCAGTTCAAATTTTCCAGATTGACGGGATAGGTATTGGGGAAACAGTACATCACATCAACGAATACAACCCACACACAAGACAAGATATTGAGCGGCAAGCCAAACTTTCCAAGGTTCATGCCACGGCGGGCTGGCAGAATCTTCTCACGGCCGCGCCAGGCAAGTATTCCCTGCGGAATCACATACGATGTTGTCATGAACACAATGCAAGCGCCGACCTTCAGACAGAGTCAGCATACATCTATTCGAGATGTGTGGTATAGCTTACCATTGAAGAAAAGGCCGAGGATGAACCAAGAAAATCAGCCCGTAAAGCTAATTCAGTATCAGCGGATAGCTTCACGGCAACCAGGAGACTTCATACCGTCACAAAGGCTCCAGAGGCACATGCG